CCAGGGAGCACCACCAGGGCATCCAGGGAGCACCACCAGGGCATCCAAGGAGTACCACCAGGGCATAGAGAGACTACCACCAGGGTACTGAGGGAGAAGTGGCTCCATAAATGTGTAAAGGAAGCCTTAGTTGAGGAGTCCAATTTTAGGTTTCCTGGTGTCTGATAGAGCTGAGGACACAGACTGAGAATCATTTCTATAACTACCCACTGCATTACCAGGTTGACATCAGTCAACAGGTGTCAGAAGCAAGCAAGCAGGCCTCACTGAATGTAGATGTTTTGTCCCCCGACAAACCAGCTCAGGCTGGGACACCTGCCTCCTACTCCATCCACTCGCTCCTGCTTCCTCTGCTCCCTGACCATGGCCTCTGGGTTACAGTCACTCTCTGCTGCCCCAGGCCATCCATCTACCCAAGAGTTGTGTGTGGGGGGGCGGGGGGAGTTAAGCCCTAGGAGGAGATGCTGATTTTAACGAACTTGTTTCACATTGCAAAGCTGATTCCTCTTACCTTTAACATGAACTCACAGGCGGATTAAAGTGAAATAAAACTTACTATTTGAGCTACATTTCCAGCTTATTGGAAACATGCATTACCTCCCTGTGGCTGGGCCGTGGGAAGAGAAGTTATTATCTTTCTTTAGAGTTTGTAAACGCTTTATGGCAGAGGCATTAAGTCTGCTGGGGGAGCGGGGTGGTGGGGGGGAAAGAGGGAAAAAATTTGCTCCCGCTTACGGTTGTTGTCCAATCAAGAGCTCCAATGGGAAAGAAGCATCCCAAGTGAGCGATGGAGAGCCAGGCGAGCTCCAGCAGAGAAGTGGAGTTATTTTCTTCTTTAGGCATGTGAACCAAAAGGACATTAAGGTACCATTTGGCAAGGGAGCTCATTCCGTCCTCCAGAGAGGCTGCAACTCACCCCCATCCCAACCTCTCCCTGTTCTTCTGGTATTTGTTTCCAGGAGAAAAAAATGGCCTCCATCCCCAAGAAACCCATCTTAGAGGATTTGTGAAGGGCACGGACTCTTGACATTTGGAAGCAAGGAGGAGCCAGAGAAAGGGCAGATCTGAGTCAAGATTGCATCCATGAGGGAATGAGGAACTCAGCATGTGGACCTGGCTCCAGAGAAACAGAAGATCCCCCTCCCTTCCCCTAATCCATCTGGGTACTGTCAGCAGCCCCCATGCTCCAGGCTTGAAGTCCAGCTTTTTGCCTCCTGGAGGGAAACCTGCCCAGGATGTCTGGTCTGCCTTCTTTTAAAGCTATGGAGACAGGGGCTCATCAGGGAGGTCTTCAGGGTAAAGCAGAGGCTGCCCAAGAAGCCGGTGCTCAGTCAGGCAGCCAGACCTGACGTTCCCGGGGTTCTTTTCTGCAAGTTCAGATGTGATGGTGCTAGTCTTCCAGAGAGTCTGTCTCAGATGGTCTGGGAACAGGGACACTGCTATGTATCCCTGTTTAGAGGGTTTTAAGCATCCAGGACCAAAGGGCAAACAAACCCAGTCTCAAGTATTGAACAACAACAGCAAAAAGAATGGTCATTTGAGCGATTGGAGCCCAAAGCGGGAGAATTGCCGAGAAGCTAAACAGGAAGTGGAATTCCGAGGTCAGCGTGCACAGACGTGACGACCAAGGTTGGCTGCATCCCTGTAATTTCAGTGGTAGCTAGGAGTAGAAGAAGGGTAGAAGAGAAACCAGGCCATGTCCTGAACTGCTGTGAAGGCCTCTTGTGGAAATGGAGGCCTCTGAGAGAGGAACTGCTCGTGGGCAGCTGGGGCCATGAGTGGCTCCTGAGTTGGTGTGAAGAGGCAGAGATGGCTGGCTTTCTCTCCTCTCATGACCCCGCTGCCTCCCAATAGACCTCCCTCTGGCAGAAGAAGTTGGCAAAGGCAACTGAGACTGAGCAGCCTGAAGGATCTGAGTCCCTGCAGCACAGAGCAGAGAAAGGAGAGCACGGTAGATATGTGGGCAGTCAAACTCTGACACAAGCCCGGTGCGTTCTGTGTCAATGTCCCTTAGCCTTGTCTGGGCACTAGGGTAGCCACCAAGTAGTGTGGGGGCAGTTATAGGGGCTCCATTGCCAACCTCTCTGACCTAAACACCTTTGGGCAAGCAGATGGTACAGCCTATAACATACAAAGAAAAGCCAGCTTGGTCTAGTTTGGCACTCATGTGTCGTTACCAGGATGCCAAAGTGCCCTGCTTTGACGGCTCCCTTTCTGGGAATCATGGAGCAGACAGAGATGTCCAAAGAAGACCCCAATACGCAAATCCTCACTGTCCTCCACTGATTCCAGAAGCTTCCATTATCACATATGCCGCCACCTCCTCACCTATAAAATGGGGATACTGTTAGTGCCTACCTCGACCCAGTGAAGATGAGGGGGAAAAAATACCCAACCCAGCTATCTCGTTAGCCACCAGATCCTTCTAGAAAGATCCCTGGCTTCTCCCACTGAGAAGAGCCCTCTACCATCTAGCTCCATGACATTCATGACAGCTCCATGACATCTCCATGACATTCGAATGGGGCAGTAAGCAGTTACCTGTGGCACAAAAGTCCTCATCTCCATGCGGTCAGAATGGTCTAGTCTGCTTGCTAGGACTTCTCACCAGAAGAACCCTATATGTGGCAGAAACTCTCTCAGACATGACTGACAGCTGCCAGGCTCTCAGTCGGTCTTCAGTAAGGCCCTGAAGGCAGGACGATGAGCTATGAGGAAGAAAAACTTGGGTGGGTAAGAGCAGGCTTCTAGGGCCCTTGCCCAGCAGACACTTGTGGACGCCTTGATAAAACTGCTGCTGGAACTCTTAAAGATGGCGTCTGAAAGGCCAAGTACGCAGACTGTGAAGAAGGAATGGCTTCGCTCCTGAAGCAGTCACTAAGCCCAGGAGCTAGCCGCAGCCCCCAGCAGAGCCTCATGGCACAATCCCACATCTGCCAGCAGGGCTGTTTCCAGACAGGCCTTGCTTCCCACCCTTCACCATTCAGAAACAGGCACACAGTTCCTGAACTCAGAGATCTGCCCCAGGAGGACAGGCAGCAGTCTGGAGGCTGGAGGCTCAGAACCAACACTGGGCCTCATTACTGAGGATCACACGGCCCCCACGGACACTCGTTAGAGGCCTAGGCGGGAAGCTAACAGGGAAGGCTGCCATTCAGTTTTATATCGCACTTCTCCTGGGCCTGTAGGGTCTGTAGTTACCACATAGATTTTTGAGTTGAAGCATCTCAAAATCACATCTGCTCAGACTTCTTCCCCACTCTGACTGTCTACGGGTCCCCTGCCTAAAAGTCTGGGTAACAGAAAACCACAGGGTAGTTATGAGCTGTGATTTTTCTCTCCTCAGCTAAAGAAAGAGAAAGCATTCCCACCCGAGAATCTCTGCTTGTCTTGCAAACCAGAGCGAATGCTTCGAGGACTCTTAAGGGAAAACCAGGTGAGCCTGAGCTGAGACCCTGTGAGGAGTGGGGGAGGGTCAGAGAGCCTACTGAGGAGTGGGCTTTGTGATCTGGGAAAGTCAGGGCATTGCCTAGGCTGCTAGTTCCTCCTGATGACAGCTACCCTCAGAGGAAGGCACCACCAGACTACACACACTTCACTTCAGGAGCCTCCAGTCAGGGACAGTTCAACAGCTGTACGGCTCAACAACTGCTGTCTCTGGTACAGGCGCTCCCAAGGCAGCATTTGCCGATTTCTACTGTGTGATTCTTCTCTCTCACTGTGGTCCGTTCTGAGAGCCCCACTACAAGGTGACATTACTGAGTGACAGGGAAGAGATTCAGAGAAGCACATATCATTTCTTTCCTTTCCTTCCCTTCCCTTCCCTTCCCTTCCCTTCCCTTCCCTTCCCTTCCC